CTTTTGTATAATATCCCTATGCGCTGAACGGGATTTTGCACAGTCTAATCCTCCTTTATTCCCTTCCCTCTCTGCATTGGCCATCTAACAAGAACGTGGTGTGCTAAAGATTGAGTGAACACTTGATTGACAAGCATCCCCCATTCAGAGGCCCTGATGAAAAGAAAATTCGTAAATTCCAAAGAGACCAAATCTGTAACATGCATAAGGAAAGTAATTACATTTTAAGGAAAGATTATTTTTTGCAAAATTCAATTAGTATTTTTGATTTTGTACTTGATATTATGAAGATAAGGCTGGCAAACAAAAGACAGGTGTTTGGCCTGGAATCAAGGTGCTCCTAGACCTATGCTTCATGTGGGAACACATTTAGCCCTGGTTCACACTACAGCAATTTCTTTGTGACTTGCAACTTTTGGGTAACACAGAAAGTTGCAAGGTAGGTGAAACACATTGATTTTAATTGGTGTTGTCTTAATTACAGCGACAATTTTTGGGACAAAAAATAGTTCCTGCACTACATTTTTGCCACTGCAGTGCAACTCACAGAAGTTACATCAGCATTAGAGAATGGGACTTTGATGGATTAGTGGTTTTTTTTGTTTTTTTTTATAACTCTCCTCTCTCCTCCCTGGTCATCCTTGCTGCCTAAAAACTTCTTCCCTAGCACATCCCATTCACACCTGAAACAACAAACGAACGTTCCTGCTCATGTTTTTTTGGCGTTTTTCATGCATAAACATGCATTGAGCAACTCATAAGTAGGTTAAAAACCTTTTTAGTTGTAGAGCACTGCACATTTTGGCATGTTTTAGGCACATTTTGTTGTGCAGCAAAACATGCATATGCATTTGCTAACCCCAAATGGGGTGTCATAACAATTAGCCTGCATTCAAATCTGCGCATTTCCGAGCACAAGGAAACTAGCAGAGAAAACGTGCACATTGCTGTATGTTTCAGAAATGTGCTCCACACAGGCCTTACATTGCCATTTAGGCTGCGTTCATATCTGCGCATTTCCAAATGCGTGGCAACCCAGACAGAACATGTATGACGCACGTTCAGAAATGCACGGATGCAAATGTAACCCACATTTTCTGTGCAGCTTGCCACGCATTTGGAAACGCATAGATGCGCAGGCTAAATGGCAATACAAGCATGATTAGGTGGCAGATCAGGGGTACCTTTAAATATGAGGGTTGGAACAAACCATTTAACACTGACAGGGTGCTTGCAATGGTCAGCTTTTTCTTCATTTATGTAAAACCTTTAACCCAAAAGGAAAAAAAAAAAACCTGTGACTGCCTTTAAAGTGTTAGCTGGAGTTCAGCTTCAATTTGTCCATCAAGTCCATCTGAATTTGTTAGTCTAACAATATCCTCTTCCCAAAGTGTCCGCTACCTCATCCAGAATGCAGACCCCCTAAGACAGGAAGTGTGTTAGTGGCCAGATCACCAGGTGAAATAAGGGAAAAAAACCTAAAAAAAGAAAATGTATGCAACCACCACATTGAAGAACTGGTAATCTGCAATATTCAGTATTACATTTTTGGTTTCAAAATAAAATAATAAACATGTTATACTTACCTGCCCTCTGCAACAGTTTTGCACAGATCGGCCTGAAAACCTCCTCTTCTGGGATCCCCCCGCAGGTACTCGTCTGCTCTTCCTCCCTTCTGAGTGCCCCCATAGCAAACCGATTGCTATGGGGACACTTGTGCTGGCTTGATCCTGAGTATGGCTCATCCTTGCCCTCACTGCTTCCTCACAGGATGTGGCTCCCACTGCCGTCTTTGAGTCCGTGAGGAGAGAGAGCAGTACTGCTGTTCTCTGGCACAGCTCTGGAATGAGAATGGGCTCAGATAAGTACTTAGGGGGGGAGCTGAACATGGAAGGTGATTTACCTTAAGATTGAAAAAGATTTATTCAGTTCTCAACTGGTCTATAGTAAAATGACGGCCAGGCGGGCCTTTCTTCAATCCAGGTGGACGTCATATGACATCCTCCCAGATCGCCGCCTCGCTGCAGTGAGATCTGTCACTAGCTGTGTCACAACTGATGACTGATCTGTGTACTGATCCATTGCCAGTATCATGTGGCCACTATGACCAATCACAGCAGCTCACATGACACTTGTAAACAATGCCTGGCTTCCTTTCCTTCTATCCATTGTATACAATTGTGTTGCTAGCTATGATTGGTCACAATGATCACATGGTACAGACTGGGCCAATCACAGCCCATCTGTGTCATGACTGGGGCCAATCACAGCTAGTCACAACAAAAAAACCTAAATGAATCAATGTCATTCAGTTAAATGTTTGCTTATAGCAGTGTTTCTCAACTCCAGTCCTCATGGACCCCCAACAGGTCATGTTTTCAGGATTTCCATTATTTTGCACAGATGATTTGATCAGTTTCACTGCCTTAGTAATTACCACAGCTGTTTCATCTGAGGGAAATCCTGAAAACATGACCTGTTGGGGGTCCATGAGGACTGGAGTTGAGAAACACTGGCTTATAGCAATGTAATATTTTGCTATAAGCAATCATAATGTGTAAAAAACAAAAAAATACTGATCATTTCCTCAGAGTAGTACAATGTTACTATGGCAACAGTATATAACTCTGGCCACAGTATGGTAAAAAAAAAAAAAAATCATAAAAAAAGAAAAAGTAATAAAAAATGGAAAATTAAATTACCTCTTTTTTTTCCATACTGTCACCAGTCAGTGTCCCTGATCACCACCACACCAATTATATGATGACGCTGTACTGCATTGTGAAATTGTGAATTTTTTTTTAATTTCCTAATTTTCCACATAATTATGACAAAAAATGACATCTTAAAAAAACTCACCATGGTTCCTACTAAATACCTCAGACTGTCTACTTTCCAAAAAGCAGTAATTTGGGGGATATCTGTACTGTCCTGAAATTTTTGAGCCTCAAGAAATGAGATAGGCCATCTGTACAGCAGGATTGACCGATTTTCAGATATATACCATAGTTTGTGGACTAAAGTTCTACAGACTAAATAATATACATTAATTTGGGTTATTTTCACCATAGAAATGTGACAGAATACATTTTGACCTAAATTTATGAAGAATGGTAATTTATTTGCAATATTTTATATATGAAATGAAGAAAAATACATTTTTTTTCAAAATTTTCGGTCTGTTTTTGTTTATTTGGAAAAAAAACAGTGGTGATCAAATACCACTAAAAGAAAGCTTTATTTGTGTGAACAAAATGCTGAAAATTTAGTTTGGGTAGTGTTGCATGACTGCACAATTATTCAAAGTGCGAAGTGCTGAAAGCTGAAAATTGGCCTGGGAAAGAAGGGGGTAAACGTGCCCTGTATTGAAGTGATTTGTGAAAAAAACCTTTGGCCTTCAGAATCACTTTAAAGTGAAATGAATAAAGCATATCCTCATACAATGTATACCTGCCTCCATAGCAGTTAGTCTGGATCTGATTCCTGGCTGTTTTCTGCTATCTGTATGAGTCACTTTTGACAGTTATCTTCACATTAGGCAGTCTTGGGGGACTGCCCTGCCCCTCTCCAGCACATGACTGACAGCCTCAACTGTGCATGTTTTCCTATAGGATTGTGTACAGATGGGGGGGGCAGGGTGTCCATTCCCTCTAGTTAGGTCTCTGCTCTGTGCTGTGCAGTGTGTGACATCAGATCCCCACCTCCTGCCTTCTGAAAGCTCAGAAAAAAACCTTTGAGCTGTGTATTTTGAACAGCTATAGACAAAAGAGGGCTTCAGATAAACAGGTACAACTTAGTTCATCTCTGTGTATCACCTGAGGCTAATCACTTCAGTGGATATGTGATGGATTTGGTAAAATGCCTATTTCGTTTCCTATTGAATATATATATATATATATATATATATATATATATATATATATATACGCTATTTCTATAAGTTTTATAAATATTTACTTTTATACTTTAATACATATGTTGTGTGAATATTTTCTGCCTGCTGGGCTTTGTGGTACTATAAGAAATCCTTGCTTAAGAAATGTCTGCTCACACACACAGACCCCCTCCCACCGTGTGATTTGGGAAACAAAGGAACGTTTTCTCTTTTTAAGATAAGACTGAAGAAGATCACACCTATACCATGACGGAGATTGTTTTCGTGTAAAGTGACCAATCAAAGACTAATATAATGCTTATGCTGTTATCACGTGATGTTCGCATCATTTTTCATATATAAACTCACGGTTTCATTTCAATAAATTAGAGAGAAGTTTTCACAGACCAAACGTGTCAGTGTGAGTTTCTTCATGTGCGCACATTCCAAAAGCTGGCCAGCATCATAAATTAGGACAGGAACAGATAAGCACTGGACAATTAGGTCCACTACTAAATCAGATATATGGAAGGGTTTATTATCACTTTAAAGTGTAACTGAAGTTTTGGATAGTGTGGAGAAGAATTGGAATACCTGTCAGGCTTTTATTGCTACCTCTGCCCCTGTTAGAGATATTCACCCTCTCTAGCTGTCCTACTTATCATTGTATCAATTTTTTTTGCCCATGTAGTGGGGCGGCACAGGTGCACACTGTACGGGTTAAATGCTCATTTTTCTCTGGGGGAGAGGACACCACAGAGGCACAGCCCCACTGCATGGTTAAAAAAAAACTGGAGTTCTGCTTTAAGGTAAAAATAAAACAGTTTTGAAAAACAATAATCCAAACAAAAAAAGTTTTCTCCTTTATTTGTGTTGTCAGAAATAGAGAGTCAAAACAACGATTTCCCACAGCTTTTTTGGAAAGACAAATTAAGGAGAGGATATTTTTAACCACTTGCATACAGGGCACTTATACCCCCTTCATGCCCAGGCCAATTTCCAGCTCTGTTGCACTTTGAAAGACAATTGCGTGGTCATGCAACACTGTACCCATACAAAATTTTTATCATTTTTTTGTGACAGATAGAGCTTTATTTTGGTGGCATTTAATCACCTCTGGGTTTTCTATTTTTTCTTAAACAAACCAAAAACCACTGAAAATTTGGAAAAAAAAAAAAAGGTTTTTTTTAGTTTTTGTTATAAAATTTTGTAAATAAGTGATTTTCCTCCTTCACTGATGTGCGCTAATGAGGCTGCAGTGATGGGCACTGATAGGTGGCACTGATGAGGAGGCACTGATGGGCATTGACAGGCATCGCTGATGGGCACTGAGAGGCAGCACTCATATATGGCACTGATAGGCAGCACTGACTGGCACTGATAGGCAACACTGACTGGCACTGTCAGGTGGCACTGATAGGCAGCACTGATGGGCACTGATAGGCGGCACCAATGCACACTGATAGGCGGCACTGACTGGTGCTGATAGGCGGCACTGACTGGCACTGATAAGTGGCACTGATTGGCAGCACTGACTGGCATTGATAGGTGGCACTGACTGGCACTGATGGGTGGCACTGAAAGGCAGCTCAGGTGGGCACTGATATGTGGCATTGATGGGCACTAAAATATGGCACTGATTAGCACTGGCGGGTGGCATGGATGAGCACTGAGAGCTGGCACTGATGGACACTGACAGGTGGCACTGCTGGGGCTACACAGATCATCAGGGCACACTGATCATCAGTGCTCTGATGATCTGTGTACATGTCCACTCTGAGGAATGCCGATTACCGGCTCTCCTCTCCTCATGAGCTGTCAGCGCGAAAACCGGCATTTCCCTGTTTACATGTGATCACCTGTGATTGGACACAGCTGATCACATGACCGAGCCAATATCTGCGGCTCTTTCCGTGGATCGGTGATCCGCTGTGTCCGAGGGACACATCGTACCACCGTTCGCCGCGCATGCGTGGTTAGAATGGGAGGACATCATATGACGTCCTCCCAGAACGAGAGAACCACCTTGTGTCCGTCATATTACTATATGGCGGGCGGGAAGTGGTTAATGATGATACTGATCAAATCAAAACATAACTTACTCTCAAGAAAAAAAGAGCAATAAACTGCTTGAAGCAGGACTATAATCTCATCAAATGTTTAGCTCTCACATAAAGTCAGTTAAGACAACGGTCAGACTACTAAAGGGTGAAGGTGATTTGGACAATAAAGTGGCAATGTCTGATGTTCAGTAATGACCTTCTGTTCCCCACTGTTTAATTGGACAAAACAAAACTTGTCCAAGGAACAGAGAAAAGGTTAACTTTGGTATTTCAGAATATCATACATTACATCTGCAGTGATAGTTTAGGGCCCCCCCTAAAGTTCTACACAGCCAGGCAACACGCATTTTCTTCCACACTTTGCATACTGGAGTAAGTAACCAGTTCTTGAGCTTGGTTTTGTGATTTTATTAAGGGGTTTAGGAGTTGAGTGGGGTTGAGCGGTGTATGAGATGCCCAAGGAACTCTAGAAACGTGAGGACAACTCAGAGCAACTATGTACAAAGATGTGGACAAAAACAAAAAGTCTCTCCACTGAGAGCATTCCAAGCCCTCTAGTGTACCTCTTCAGACCCCAGATGAATCCTCCTCTTTACCCAGCTGTGGGTGCTAAGCTTGCCCTGTCTTTTGGTGTGTACATTTTCTGCCTTGTCTCCAATTGATTTTCTAGTTTTGACCCTGATTTGGACTGGCTGTTCCCTGTAGCTGTAAATCTTCTTTTATTATTGCTCACAGTTACTGTACATGACACAGTCCACTTCCTTTAAAGTTCTAACATTAGCAGTGTCCCAGTCCCCATAACCTTGACCAGCAGTCTGTTTGCTGGTGATATCCATCCTGAAATCAAATTGCATATTATCCAAAAATATGAAATGCAGGACAGAGCACTACTCCCTCAGTTTTTCCAAATTAACAAAAAAGTGCTTCTATCCAATAAAGAACATTAACATGTAAATTTCAGGCCCCTTTCAGATGGGGCAGACCCATCAGCGGATCCATCTGCTCAGCGGGGGAGCTCTCTGCTGATCCCTGCTGAACAGACAGATGATCTGTCTCTGCTCCATTGCTGCATAATGGACATAGACACAGCCCCCTGTCTTCTATGGGGTGGTCGGATCGAAACGGATCGCTTGTCTATTTTCATCCGACTGTCATCCGGCCCACTGGATGACTAGGGAATGGATCACCATCCATCTGTTTGTGACCTACAGGATCGGATCGAATGTTGGCGGGTGTCAGCGGACACTTGTCCTCTAGCACCCACCGGTCCATAGAGGTCCTTGAAATAAATGTGTCCATTTAGTTTTCAGCATAGCATCCCTTCACAGAGAAAGTGACCTTCTACATATGCAGAGAATTCATATACAAGTCTGGGTTTTTTTTTGTGCAGTGTCTAAATATTCTCTTCCAACCCAATAGATATGTGAAGAGTCTGGACATGAATAAAATAAAGTAAAATTTATAAAGTTGATATTTTCACTGTCCTACCTTAAAATACCAAGTTTTCCAGGAAGATCTGAAACAAATAAAAAAAAAAAATAAACATTTATTTTTTATTGTTTTGGTTGTAATGGAGCATAGTTGTCACAATCTGAGATGGGTGGAACGTTAGATGAGCGCACAGAAAAACACATGAAGAGGGGCGCTTAACCGGTGCCACAATAGGACAGTGTGGAAAGGCAAGAAGTTGGGCTGCTCACTTACTCAAATGACCAGTGATCAGAGTTCAAAAACAACAAAACAAGGAGAACCTAGTCCTGCAACAACTTGGGGGTGAATACTCCACTCTGAAAGTCCAAGAAACGCCAGGCAATATGCATAAAATGCCACAACTTTATTATAAAAAAAAGTCACATAAGCAGCCACAAACCTTAAAAATGAATCCACAGGATGCATTCATAAGACTCAGAAGCCCTCTGGGTGGAAGATACCAAAGCCCAGTGGGACAGGGTGGAAGAATTGACCGGGAAGGTGAACTGCAGTGACCGGGGACACCAAACCTCAGCCTGCCCCAGCCGGAAGTGATGCCAGCAGAGGACCGGAGTTGTTTCAGGACCCCAAGTTGTTTCAGGACTAGGCACTCCTTATTTTGTGGAAAGTTAGATGAGCATGCTAGAGTTACTAAATTCTCTTCAAATATTTCACATGTAGCTCCAGGCAAGATCAGGCTGCACACTCCACAATCACATCTCAGGTGCTGGCTTGGCTCGTCTCCAATGAAGCAACCAGAGCATTATTTGTGATAGGGCGCTGCAATACTTTAACTGATAATTGCGCAGTCATACAACGCTGTACATAAATAAAATGTATGTTCTTTTTTCCCCTGAAATAGAGCTTTCTTTCGGTGGTATTTGATTGCCTGTGCGTTTGTATTTTTTTGAGCTATAAAGACCAACAATTAAAAAAAAAAAAAAACAATATTTTTGACTTTTTGCTGTAAAACATATCCAGTAAAAAAATTTTAAAAATCAAATTTCCTCATAAATTTAGGCCAAAATGTATTCTGCTACGTCTTTGCTAAAAAAAAAAAAAAAATCACAATGCATGTAAATTAATTGGTTTATGTGAAAGTTATAGCATTCACAAATAGAGGTATATATACACTGGAATATAAAATTTTTTATATACTAATGGTGGCGATCAGTGACTTACAGAGGGACATTCTGACAGTGGATGGGAACTGTCTAATGGCCACTGACATCCCAATGAGACAAATACAGCGATCAGTGCTAATAAAAAGCCCTAACACTGTACTAATGACACTGGGCAGGAAGGGGTTAACATCTGGGGTAATCAAAGGCTTAACTGTGTGCTGTTTTACTGTATGTGTTGTTTTTTTACTACGGCAACATGCTGCTGTGTTTTTCTCTGCTGTGCAGAGAAATACACAGCAGTATGTTATTGCTTGCAGGAGAGAGACCTGTGTTTACACACAGGTCTCTCCCCTGTCACTGTTTCTCGGCAATTGCTGGGTGTCGGCAGGGAATCTCTGGCCGGGACCTGGTGATCAACATCTGTAGCCACCAATGGTGGTATGCACACTCCCAATACCCGAAAAAGCAAAATCACGTGTATATATACTTGATTTTGTGCAGCCCTGCCACCCTGTAGCAGTTAAAATAGACAGCAGGAAGGTTCTATTCTGACATGTTTCGTATTAGGCACAGTGCTTACTCAAACCGTGAAACATGTCATATTAGAACTTCTTCCTCCTGACTATTTTATTAAAGAAAAATATTATTTTGCATCTTGCCGTGCTGAATTTTTGTTGCTGGTACTATTATTGTAATGTAATAGTTGCCAATAATTGAATTGCCAGCAGCACTGGCCAGCTGTATCATACATTTCATACTTTTTAGTTGAGAAGTAAATAGGGAGGATGAGGGGAGTGGATGAGAGGATTGGCAAGAAAACAACATTAAGATAAAAACCAAACATGAACATAAAAAAATTCTGAGACCATTAGCGTGTATATATAAAAAAAACAAAAAACCCCCCAAAAAAACAAAACCCTTTGCACGGGTGTATGTTTTAGTATGCCTCTGTTAACGAAGCCAAAGAGTACGTCATATGAATACCTCAAAAACATGAATTTGTAAAATGCTACGATAAATAAATCTGTAAACAGACGCACTTGCTTTTGTAATCATGAAATAAATGACATCGCACTCAAAATGTTGTCACTTTGGGGATACGGGTGTCTAGTTTAAATATCCAACAAATTTTTCTTCTGGCTAAATATTGTAAGACAAAGGATTTCGACCTTTTGTGGAACGATTACCTTTTTATGCAATCTGTACTTTGAGCTTTTCAACAATGGGATGTGATTCAACAAAATGGTTTGCAACTTTGTCTTTGTTCATTCTAATATTTGAAAGGTGGTCTCGCACCGTATCACACAATTATCTAGCTGTGGGAAAAATATCAAAAGTTTGGTCCTGGAGGTGGGACTGAATTTTGTGGGCTGAATAAATTTGTGCCTGTGAAGACGACTCTGGTGTGTGGTTTTTCCACTGGATTATATTGAGCTCTGTGTGAAGAAGAGAGACTCCAAGCTAGCACTAAATTCCAACATATGAGGGCAGTGCTTGGTGGATTGGAACGGTGCACTTTTCTTTGATTCTACAAATTATAAAGCTAAAAAAAAAAAAGCTTACTTAGGTTAATATCAGCTTCCAGGTTTTATTATCAAAGCTTAATTGAACAAGCTGAAGTTAGAAGCTGATTGGCTACAATGCACAGCTGCACCAGATTCTGAGTGCACCAGTTTTAGTAAATCAACTCCAATGTTCTTAAAGTGTTACTAAACCCAGGACCCTGCATCCACTATATCTGATCGCCCACAGTACACAACATGGAAGTGCAATTATTTTAGTAAATATAAACTGCTAAATACCTTTTCTCATCAGCAATTAGAGCAGTCTTGTGACTTCTATCTGTGTGTAGCCCAGAACTAGCTAAAGCTTGTAGGAGGAGTTTTCTTTCTGCTCTAGGAGGATGCAGATCCCCTGACCTCTGTCTAGGCAATGCTGATTGGCCCTGTGCTGATCACATGCACTCTCCCAAGAAAAAAAAAACCTCTCTAGCAATACACACTAAACTGAGCATATGCATGCCTATGGTTCAGTCTGGTGATAAGAGGTGGTAGCTTGAAAAAAATGGGCGGAATAGAGAAGAAAGGATCAAACATACTTTTTACATAATACAGAGGATTAACCCCTTAGGTTCCACAGTAAGTATAAAAAGCATGCTTTACTGCATATACAGGCTACTTTTACTGTTGTGGGTTTAGTAACACTTTAAGTCTAGGTTTACATCTCTG